ATGCTTTATGCAAATGTTTGTTTATTATCATTTAAACAATGACAAATATTCTCATGAATATTAAACACAACAACCTCTGAACATTACAAATACTCGCCTCAATTCAATCTGGAACCTCTCTCGTGTGTGTGTGTGTGTGTGTGTGTGTGTGTGTGTGTGTGTGTGTGTGTGTGTGTGTGTGTGTGTGTGTGTGTGTGTGTGTGTGTGTGTGTTCGTTCTATCTGGACGCTGCAATCATGTTGCGCGCACTATCCGTGCTGAGTGTGCTGACTTTTCCCACAATGTCTGGCTACCTGCGTGTAGTGCTCGGCGCAGTTGTGGCGAAGTGTCGCTCCTCTGTTTTCATTTAAACAGCTCCATATATCCGTTAGCGCAGCTAGCTAGCACCAGATGCTAACAACAACAATACACGTAAGGTCTCTCTTTCGCGCCACACATACAGACACCCTCTCGGTGCATGCCGGTGAGCGTGGAAGTGTGGTCTGCCACAAGCGGGCGGCAGGAGCGGGGCTGTCAGCATCAGCTTGTAGATGGTATTTTAAACTCAATGCGCTCTGAAACTACGTGGCGGCCGAGGACAAAACATACACATGCGTTAATCGCGTTAAAATAATTAGTGGCGGTTTTTTTTTTTTGCGTTAACTTGACAGCCCTAAAAAAAATCTTTTTATTTGTGACAGTCAAGGACTCAGTGTCCTGCTCCTGCCTGAGGTAACGTTGTTTGTGTTTCCTAGGTAACATGGTGAAGGTTCTGCGGGGGCATCAGAACTGGGTGTACTGCAGCGCCTTCTCCCCTGACTCCTCCATCCTGTGCTCAGTGGGTGCAGGCAAAGCAGTATGTACACAAGTTCCTCTTTACTTATTTTGATGTCATTGATAGCCAATCAACTTACAAATGCCCCGCCCTCCCATTCCCCCCTAAGAACAAACTGCTCAGTGTCATGATAAGTTGTGCCTTCTGTTTGGTTTTGTTTGCAGTGCAAAAAACATGCTTTTGGTGTTCTGAAGTGTGCATGCCCAGCAGACCACTGTTTCACTATTGTTATATATCTAAATGAAAGTGTGAACATGTATGGTAAACTCTTGACATTTTATAATTCAGCTACAACTGAAGTGGGTCTGCACAATGAATGGAAATATTATCGGTATAATGATGTCTATTAGTGCATTATCCAGCGCAATATTTGGTTAAAATGTAATATTGAGAAAAATGTAATTTTAAGTATTGCATAATCAAAAATCCATTGTTTGGTACAGGGCATTTGAATACAAATTAAATCATGATCATTTACATTTCTGTTCAATGCTAATGTAAAAAAAGTAATAAAAAAAGATCAGGGCCTGTAATATATCAGAATTGAGCAAAAATATTATTTATGTGGCAGTCCTACTCTGAAAAGTATTTCTGTTGAAGTGGGGGGAACCAAACAAAATTTTTGAATCATTACGTAAAGGGAATCTTCATATATATATATATATATATATATATATATATATATATA